AGACCCTACAACTAGACAAAGATGAATTCCGCTGGTATGTAGAAGTGAGGAACAGGGAATAGGTGGTTTCTTTGAATTTAGAACTTTCCCCTTTAGCAGACAGATCACTCCCCTTCTTGAGGCCACACTTTCTTTCCCTTTGAATGTCAGGTCCCAGTTTAGGAGCTGGGTGTCCCTGGAACATGTTTCCATGACCTTCAGCTTTGCTAAAAGCCTGGGAGACAGGAATAGGAAGAAGCTGGTGAATCCTCTTTCAAAGTGGCATCCCAGCCTCCTGAGATCTTAATACCTGTCCCCATCCCTCCATGCATACTCACTGCATGACCTCACTGAGACCTCGCAGACCTGCCAAGTATTTTCCTTGTCATCAGCTCTGACAGGCTCCATTTGTGAGTCAACGCACATCTCTGTGACGTGTGTAGCAGTCATCTTTCTCTGAGTGTGACCCTTGGTCGGACTGGCTGCACAGTAAGTCCTCCATGGGTATGTGCAAACCAGAGTTTTATATCAGTTTATGTAACATGTGTAAACAATTTAATCTTTGAATTCTCTCTCTGGTACAAACGTTACGATAAAACAGACATCAGGACTGGCTTATGGGGAATCTGTTGGCAGAAAAGGCTGCAATTTGCTTCCTTTCCTCAGCTAGGTAGGCTACAGTTCTGAGGCCTCCCAATACGTGTGTTGGGGGACTCACGTCACATGCCCAGCGATTTGTGTCATGCTCAGAGTTATGTTTACTCCACCGCAGTAGGTATTTGGAATCCTTATGTCAGTGAGGGGCCCCAGCTACGCACTCAGCAGCAGCCCCGGAAGGGCCAAGTGCATCAAACAAATGTGGTTTGGGACTATGTCCACATTAGAAGTGAGGGCTGATTGGAGTCAGAGGTTAGATCTTAACTACACCTTTTAGTTGCCAAAGTGCTGAACATTAGATGGTGTTTGGGAACTTGCTCAAAGGAATTAAGGAACTTATGACCTTAGGCAATTTACTTAACCTCTCTGAGTCTGACATTTCTCATTTGTAAACATAAGGTTGTTACAAGGATTAGAGCTCATTTATGAAAAGCAGAGTGTGGTGGCACAATGCCAGGTGTGTGAAGTGCTTAGTGAATGGGAGCTGCTATCACCATTATTACCATTAGTTTACAATACTGTTGTCCCGGCATATGAGACAATATCACTCTTTTCCCCCCTTACTTGTCCAGAGATGTCGCCACTGGATGCCTCCATTTTCAGGTATGTCCTTCACAACTGGGCTTCTTAAGAGACCCTAAGTATCAGAGACAAACCTCATCCATTGATTTCCCTTTCCTATTTAGCTATTACTGTCTCTGTCTCTTCCAGTTACCTCAAATATGGTACTTATGGAATTCTTCATAGACTATATTAATCATCTCATGGGCATCCATTAAAAAAAAAAAAAGCATCCACAGAGGGACAGCTGAACCCAGTCCCTGTGACACCTGCCAGGCGAGGAAGAACTGAGCCGCATCTCCTCCTAAGAAAAGGAGGGAGAGAATGTGAGCAGAGCCCTGAGTCAGGAGCCAGCAGGGCCAGTGGTTGCTTAGCCGAGGGAGTGCTGGCCGTGAAGAGGAGCCGGCTAAGCGTGACTGCAAATTTTGCTCTTGAATGGCTCTTGAGGAGTGAGTAGGAGTTTGCTAAACAGAGAAGCCTAGAAAGGCTCTGGCAGCAGAGAGAACAGCATGCTTTGCAGAGCTTTGTAAAGGGCATAAGATATTTGTAGAATGGTGATATGTTTGTTGTGCTGGAAATATAAAATCCATGAAGGAACTGAAGCAGGTGAGGCTAGAGCCAGCTTGTGAAGGACCTTGGTCATGATAAAGAACTCAGATATATACCCACAGGTGATGGAGGGCCAAGAGACATTCCATTACATCTCATATGACTTTTATTTTATGTATGTGATTGAAAGTAGGAAATAGAAAACATTAATAACACACATAGGTAATAAGTTTATTCTGAAAATGATTATTTTAGTGGGGGCACGCAAGGGGACTTTGAATGGCTTATTGAGAGTTAGTGTGAAAAGGAGGTCTATGTTGAAAAGATTCGGACTGTACTTGTTTGGGGTTTAATGTTCCTGGGATGAAAGCTGCTCTCTCTCATCTCCACAGGCCTCCATTATGACTTAGTTAAATTCTTCTGCTTCATGACCTTGAGATTTTCATGTCACTATGAATTTTGCAAGGATGAGGCATACACAAGAAGCAAATGGGTTGAGAAATGATTGTTGTGTTCCTAGTCACCCTCTAGGGCCTTTCTAGTGTCACTATTCCCCCAAAAGGTCTCTCTGATTTCTTTATCCCAGTGTGTCTGACGGATTCTCCCCATCTCCACCCCATCTTCTTCCCAGGGCCCCTGGCAGCGTGTGTGGCGCCTGCACTGAAGATGGGATGTTCCGGCAGTATGTGCACACAGCTTCCTCCCGGCGGGTGTGCGACTCCTCCGGTTACTGGACCCCAGAGGAGGCTGTGGGTAAAGTACCATGGCTTTTGATTTGTACCTTGGTGGGCACTGGGAATGGGAGTGGAGGTGAAGGGTGAGCAGTGGCAAGGTGAGAAAAAGGTAGTGTGTGTGTGCGGGTGTGAGAAAGAGCCAGTGAGAGAGGGAGGGAGAGAGAGAGAGAGAGAGAGGATGTGTGTGCTTCTGGTTTGCTAGATGTCTATCTCCAGAGACCTTAGGAAGTCAGTCTGCCTGGTTACTGTGCGCTGAATATCCCTAATGTCCCTGCTGGTGAGGGCTCCGTGGCTGTGCTGGAGCAGAGATCCAGCACATCGAACAGAAGGATGGAGACGTCCATTGCACTCAGGGGGCGACTTCAGAGCGAGAGCTGCGGAGTACAGTGCTGCATGTACCCACCGGCCCTGGCACAGCCTGGCCACGTGGCAGTTTAAACTGATCTCTGATCCCTCTGTATCAGGAATGTAATAGAGAACGCATTGCGGGAACACTCAGGCACTGGCCAGCACGCGGGTGGGAGTGGGTCTAGGTGTTCCACACTGATCGTTCCGTCTCCGCTGTTTTATGAGTCTGTTAATGCCTAGTACTGCTTGTGCTTTGGATATGATCTAAGTTAGGCTCTTGCAGGGGAAAAATATTTTTCCCTATCTCTTTTTCTGTCTCTCCCTTAACTTCTCAAATAGCCATGTACTCACTTACATATGGACATTAGTGCCTCTAAGGCAAATTACAACATGAATTTTTTCCTAGTTCAAGTCCTGAAAATGCTGCTGACAAGACTTTCTTGCACCTACTGACGAATGGCTGGAGTTCTTCATTATCGTCATCTCCATTGTTTACCTAATCATTTTTTTTATCTCTTAGATTTATTAAGATCCTGAAAACTATGTAGTAAGTTGTGTGGATGGAGTCCTTTCTGAATTAACTTGCAGCCTTGACTGTGACCAGAAACTAAGGACAATATTGATCTAAGCGTCTGCAGCATCTGTAGGCTGTCATCTTGGGTTTCCAGTTACTCAAGTGACAGGGCCTCAGGGAGAAATATGGAAGGAGACAACTGGCTCGATTGCTTGTGTCTGACTTGTTTTTCAGTGAGCATTTTCAAGGAAGAATGGAATGTGAATATCAAGTTTACTGCACGGGAGTCATTTAGAGATTGACATTTCTTAAAAGGCTGTTTTCGTAGCAGTTTGTCCTGTGCTGCTGTTTTAATGCCTGCTTGATTCCCCAGCCCCATACTTTTTTTCTTTTTAATGCTTGGAAAAATTCTAAGTTATCTGGTAGAGGTAAAAGGAATTGGAAGTTCTGGGTTCTAATTCTTGTATTGGGTCCTGAAGCCAAACAAGTCAACTTTTAGGGACCCCACTTTATGCTTTAACATGAGATCGTAAGGAAAAGTTTCTGAGAGATGCTGCTATAGCATTGGCTTCCTTATATTTAGGGATAAGCAGGGGACAGTATGAGCAGTTTTTAGGACTACTAACATTGGGCTTCAGAAGCATTAATTTATCATGAATTATTAATAAATTAAGCATGTATAATTAATAAGAAATAATGGTCTTCCCTTGCTTTGGAGGAGTGAGGAACCATGTCATATTTAAAATATTCACAATTCACAATTGGATCCCTGTAACTGAGCAGGCATGAACACATGGATTTACAGAGATGGTCAAATGTATTTCATGACACTTCTGGACCACCAACTACTTTCTAAATGCTATGAGGATTAGGAAATTGAAACAAACATATTCCTTGTTTAATTTTCATCTTCTTGGTGAGAACTTTTCAGCTCTACAATCTAAAATAGCTCCCACCTCCACTCAATAATTCTCCATTTCCTTATATTCTTTCATTTTTTCACAGATGTTATCACTACTTAATATTATACTTTACATCCCTCTGTCTATTTACTGTTGCCTCTCACACCCTATTGGGAGATCTATGAAGATAAGACCTTTATCTCTCTTGTTCATCCACTACCTTCAATTCTCCAATGCCTAGTTTAGTGGCAGGTGTGAAAGAGGCATGCTATCATTTGTTGAATTAATGAATAAATCAATCAACTCACAATGGAGACAAACCCCATTAAAGACCATGTAACACTATAAACACACACACGCACAAAAATACACATTTGAACTTGTTTATTCTGGGATTTGAGACATTCTTTATTTTCTAAATTCTGAAGGGCTGAAATAACTACTTTGGCAAACATAGTTACTTGGTTTCTATAGAACATTGTCTAGATTAACACTAACCTAGAATGGCAGGCATTAAATGTTATTACTTTTTTTATAAGCAAGGAAACTGGTAAATAGAAAGGCATACCATGTCCGCACAGCTAATTACCATGCCAATGAAGAGCCTGATTCTGTGGATTCCTAATTCAACACTTGTTCTTTTGCAATGTAAGAGAAAATGATTATTATAGCTTATTTCCATAGAACTGACTTCCGTAGATTTGTGATCTTTGGGTTTTCATCAATATGTTCTGACTTGGCTAATGAGTCTCCTTTCCCTTCCCACGCCCCACCTCCCTGCTCAGTAATATGCGTTTATGTGTCCTGCCTGTGGTCTCCTACCTGCAGCTCCCAACCTGCTCACACACACCTGAACTGAAAGGGAAATTCCACGTATGCCTTGAAGCTCTGGCTAATAGTTGAAAGGACTGCCAAGGTGGGATCTTAGAATGCAAGAAGTTTTGTGAAGAGCACGACAAAGATTGTAGTGACAAACTGAATTAACACAGGCCTTCAAAAACATTACTTCATCATAAATTATTGATAACCAAACATATATAATTCTCCTTTGCTCAAGGATTCCTTAAGGTCATGGCTTAACTGTCCTGCACCAGCCTCACGTTTCTGCCTAGGATCTGGATTGCTTCATTCCCAATATTTTTCCGGGTTCCTTTTGTTACAGGCACCATCTAGAGGGATGGGGTGATGAGAACATAATACGTCTTATTTTTATACCTTTGTCCTTGCTAGTACATCAGAGCTCACCTCCTAAGATGGCCAACTTCTATAGGAATTCTAAGTTCCCTCCTCCTACATCCTTCTCTCTGGCTGCTGATAGATATAACAGGGCTACTCATGTTCAGAGTTTTAGTGGTGGTTCCTGATGGGTCTTTCTGCTTTTCTCTCCCAGGGCCTCCTGATGTGGATCAGCCCTGTGAGCCGAGCTTGCAGGCCTGGAGTCCTGAGCTCCACCTGTACCATATGAACATGACAGTCCCCTGCCCTGCAGAAGGCTGTAGCCTGGAGTTGCTCTTCCAACACCCGGTCCAAGCGGACACCCTCACCCTGTGGGTCACTTACCTCTCCATGGACTCCTCCCAGGCACTCTTTGACACGGAGATCTTGCTTGAAGACAAGAAGTCTGTGCATCTGGGCCCCTTAGACACTTTCTGTGACACCCCACTCACTATCAAACTGCATGTGGATGGGAAGGTCTCCGGGGTAAAAGTCTATACCTTTGATGAGCGGATGGAGATTGACGCGGCTCTCCTGACTTCTCAGCCCCACAGTCCCTTGTGTTCTGGCTGCAGGCCTGTGCGGTACCAGGTTCTCCGAGAGCCCCCCTTTGCCAGTGGCTCATCTATGGTGGTGACACACCCTCACAGGAAGTTCACAGACATGTGAGTTGGGTAGCATGACCTTCTTAAACTGTGGGGCTTCCTGGGGCTTTGGGGGATGAGGTTTTTTTGCCCCCACTATTTTACGTTCAGGTACGTCCTTCATTTCAGAGTGCTTCAAACAGTCACAGAAATTTTATCTAAAGTGGTACATGGAGAAAAATATTTTCCAGAAAGGGCCAAGCAGCTTTCTAATCACTGATGTCATTATTATGATTAGGAAAAAAGAAGATATTGTATGAGATGTTTTGGTTGAAATGGATATAACAGCCCTAAATAAGTTTATGAGAATCACGTATTCTTGTGGGGTGATAATTTACAATAGTTTTTTATTTCTTGCCATAGCTTTCTGATTATCTGCTATACATGCTGTTACTTTCAAAAGCTGCAGTCAACTCTTACAGCTAAGCAAAGAAGCCAAGGGCCCTGAAGATGCTGCTTGGTTTCATGATTCATTCATGATGTGTGTTTCATTCTTTCCCCCTTTTCTCATTTATCCCTTCATATCTCATCTTTCCTTCTCTTCCAACTCTCCTTTTTCTCTTACGTCTCTTCTTTCTTTCTATATTTAGTGAGTTTTACTATGTTCCTGGCACTGTGTGCTCAATGCCAGGCACACAGACCAAGATAAGGTCATTACCTACAAAGAATTCAATGTCTGGTGTGGGAGGCTGGTATCTCCAAAAGCAAATTCTCTCCACCTCATAGTTTTCCTTAGACATAGTCCTGAGGTCCAAATTAGAGTAAAACAGAATTCTATCAAAGATGTTATGCCAATTAATTTTTGCTGCATAAGAAATCATTGCAAAATATAGTATGTTGAAACAAGAAACATTATTTCTCATCATTCTATGGGTGTTCTTGTCAAGACTGACTTGGGAAGCTGGAGATAGATGGCCTGGGATGACCTCACATACACACTGGTGACCTTAACTGAGACAGCTGGTGTGGCTGGCAAGATGAGGACCTTCTTCTTTGTGGTCTTTTAAGGCTTGGCCTGGTGGTCAGAGAGTTTCCAGCAGCAGAGGGGACAGGCTGAAATGCTTGCATGTTTCAAGTCTCTGCTTTATGTTACTCACGGTAATGTTCCAGTAGCCAAGGCAAGTCACATGGCCAATTCCAGCATCAAGGGGGGCAAAATAAACTCTCATTTAGATGGGACAGACAAAAAAGTCACATGGCAGAGGAGTGCATCTGGGATGGGATAGTTGTTTGGCAGGTTACCACGGCTACAAAACAGTTGAGAAAAATGTCCACTGTGAGCTTTATTACATTTTACGCCCATATTTGCTTTCTTAGTTAGAACTGGAAGACAGTGAAATGGCTAAATAACTAATGCAGATGGGAGGAGAGATCAAGGGGTAGATTTAAAAAGAAAAAAGAAATTATTTCTGAACTTTTAAAATAAGGCAATTAAAATGACATTTATTATGTAACTTGCTATCCACATACATGCACAAACACATACATTTAAGGCCAATGACACCCCATTTTATAGATGAGAAAATGGAACCTTAACCTTAATGTGGTTGAATAGCTAGTAAATGGTAGACTCAAGATTAAAATCTAGTTTTCCAACTGGGATCTCATTTTGGTCCTTTTTCTCTGTATAAGCCCAGACTGTTGAAGGTGTGAGCTACCTGCCACTGAGCTTTTCCCTCAAAAAGACTAAACTTATGCTGACATTCCATCCTCTCTTTCCCCAGCCACAGGCCAGTGTAAGAATTATGCACGACTGGACGAGAAGTCCAGCAGTAACCACCCTGTAAATGAAAACCATCAGCATGATTAGGTTATAAAATTGGTTTTGCTTTCAACTATCTAGCACTCTCATGGGTAGCTCACACCTTCAACAATCTGGGTTTGTAAAGAGAAAATGGACCAAAAAGAGATCCCAGTTGGAAAACTGGGTTTTAATCTTGAGTCTACCATTTACTAGCTATTCAACCACATTAAGGTTAAGGTTCAGTTTTCTCATCAATAAACTTCCTTAAAAAAATAAATGGAAAATTTAAAAAGCTAGTATTTAGGTATCTTTTCTACTAAAATACATAAAAGCCAGTACAGAGTCTTTTAAAGGTGTTTTTGAAACTCTGAGATGTTTTCTGTTTACTGATCACTGCACTGGTATGGAAGTGGGAGCTTTATGGTTGAGTGGAAATGTCTGTTAGAGAAGGGGATCTTGGCAGCAGGTTTATGGCAGCCACTCACGAAGTCCCAAAACCCTTTTGATAGCCTGTCCTCCTAAGTAACATTCATCCCACTTAGAGTCTGGTGGTAGTTTTCCAATAGGACAGACACCAGAAAAAATTGAGATGAAGGAAAAATTTATCTTTGGACCTAGCAGCCTCCTGCGTGAGCATTTTTCCCCTTTCTGTCTTGCCTCTCATGCTCTGCACGTGAGAAAGGGTCTGATTAACTCTTACCATCTCTAGCATCAACTGATACAAGCTATTCCCAGGGTACTACATGTATGCATTTTCAAAGATTTGGAGTTGGGGAGTTATTTAACGCATTCTCCAAATGGTGATGGAAGGTTCTGTTACTTTCTGCTATGAGGTAGTTATTCTTCCTTTCAGAATTCAGTCTCCTCAAGACAAGAGTTGTCTTGAAAGAGAGGAAAACTGATCCATAGACCCCCAAAGGGCTTTGCTGAGTCCAAACTCTGAAGCTTTCATGTTGTTTTTTTGGTTACTTTGACAATATAAGAGACTTGTTTTCAATAGTTGTTTCGTTTTCATATGGTAAAAAATACACTTGAAATCTCTTTCTCCTACTTTGACTAGGACTGTGAAATTCAGCATTGATTTAGCAAGCATTTATTGCATATCCACTCTGTGAAATGTATAGGGAATACAGAAATAAATATTATTGCAAAGATTTGGTTTCTCCGTAAGACTGTGTGCCTTGGTCTTTGTTTTAGACAATACCACCCATATTTAACATTTATGCTCCCAGCAATATTTCTCTTAAACTCTCACAAATCATCTGTAGAGGACTCAGGGCATGTCTCATGGATGCAGTTATCACAAGCCCACTGATTTTTACAGGGAGGTCACACCTGGGCAGATGTATCGGTACCAAGTTCAAGTTGAAGCTGGAACAGAACTGGGGGAAGCTTCACCTCCTCTGAACCACATCCATGGAGCTCCTTTTTGTGGAGATGGGAAAGTGGCAAAGTGAGTATTGTGCAGGGTGGGGGTAATGTGTGAACAAGGACCCTGTGTCCTGCTCTGACCAGAAGACTCAGCCTCTAGTTTGAGTTTGAATTACTTTGAAAATACAAGGTATAAGGCACTGTGTAATTCTAGTGTTGAAATTATAAAATGTATAACTTGGTCATGATCTTGAGAGGCCACTGACATCTCTGCATAGCTATGGAGGAACCTACTTTTATTTAGAACTCACCCCATGTATTGAGATTTTGTAGTTTTTTCTCTGGGAACCCTCTTAAGGCCTCAGTGACTGGAGTTTATGCAGAAGAAGGTTACTCATCAAATGATGCCGAAAGAGATTAGAGATCCTTTGGACAAGTGGCCTATCCTCTTAACTAGCTGTAGGATCTGAGGAAAGTCAGTACATTTTTTTGAGCTTTAGTTGCTCACTTGACCCCTGAAAAAGCTAATTATAATGTAATTTCCACCTATCCTGTAAGCACCACCAAGGTAAGGATGAAATCACTCCTTTGATTTCTTACTATACCATGTTCATTTCCTATTACCCTTCTATGATATTATCCTATGGGACTAATTCATTCAGGTTTGCCTAGGACTTTCCCAATTTAGCATTAAAAGATCCTGAGTCCCTAGAAAACCAGGGCAGTTGATCACCTATCTCTGGGACTTATCTAATCTCATTTGTTACTTATATAAAGCTGCTGGCAGCAGGTGGCTGGAAAACTAGGAACTATGATTTGTTCCAGATTCCGTATCCTAATAAGATGACCTATTATTAATTTCCTGGACCTGGTAAAAATATATTACATCTTGAAGCTCTAATGGAAATCAATTTTGTAGCCTTTCTTGGGACCCCATCCTTAATGATGCCACTAAACATTGCTTATCTTCTGAATCTTCTCAGATTCTTAAGTTTCCTTTTTATGGAAGTATAAATGCTAAACTCTTCCCAGACCTCTGGAAGCAGGTGAAATCAGTTTAATATCCAGACCTTGCTCATTTGCTGTACTCTGCTGCCACCTCCCCTTCCCTATCTCAAGTCAAATTTGGGTATCCCTCACATGTGCACAAAACAGGTCTCCATGCTGCTGCTGTTCTTTTCTCTGTTCTGGCTGCTTTATTCTAAGCTTGTGGCCCACCAGTGAAGATGTTAGGGGCTAGGTTACCACTGCTACCCTGGCATAGAGCTCTTTATGGCGTTTCCTGAGACAGCTATCTGAGGGTGGCTGCCTGGAGGCCCCACGTACCTGAAAGGTGTGGAACCAAAAGGAGGAAAGGGCTGTCTTCCTAACTTGGTCTTCCACATTCTTCTGGGGCAGCATTACTCGGCTATTGGGTCTCACAAGGTTCCTTACCAAAAGGTTCTTTTAAATTTCTGCCTATATTTCCTCTTTGTATAATTAATACTTCCATCCAATGGGAAGAAATCTCTGAATTCTAACTCAGCTCAGCTGGAGGTCCCCAGTGAACATGAAACCAGAAGGAGCCAAATCAAAACAAGTACCACACAGGGCTCCGAAATTGTGAGCAATCAAAAGTTGGTCATCTCAATCTTGTTGTTCAATATGGGAGCCTCCAGCCACATATGGCTCTTGAGCCTTTGAAATGTGGCAAATGCAGCTAAGAAACTGGATATTTAATTTTAAGTAATTTAAATTTGGTTCAAAAACAAAAAAATCAACTTGGTCATTGGGAAATTTTTAAGTACATTTGGGACAACATTTTTTCAACTGTAAATTTTATGAAATCTAAGTATAGATCAAGTATTTGAATCGAGATATGTTATGAGTGAAAAATACACTCTAGATTGCAAAGGTTTAGTATGTATAAAAGAATGTGACATCCCTCATTAATAATTTTATACCTATTACAGATCAAAATAATAATGTTTTGGATATGTTGGATTAGATGATAATTTCACCTATTTCCACTTTTTAAATGAATATTAGAAAATTAAAAATTACATATGTGGCTGTCATTATATTTCTATTGCACAGCACTGCACAAGATGATATAATATGCTTATACATGGATTAATTATTTAGGTTATCTTCAAAATGAATAAAACTGTTGACCTCCAATTTTAATCCTATACCTCATGTAGAAAAGCACAGATGTAGGTTAATTCTCTCTCCATAGATGATAGAACTGAGGTATAAAGTATTTGGAGACTTCCTTAATATATCACACGCATGATTAGGGCCCCAGTGTAGTCTCCTTTATTGAACCACATTGTCCTTATGTAGATAAAGAATTTGAAGTTTCCTTTTATTCTTTCTCTACTTTCAGCTTACAACTTAAAATACTATTCTTATATTATTGTGTTCATATTATAATCTTAATTCATTCTAAAACATTCTCATATCTATTTAATCTTTAAATAAAATACTTAAGATATACTTTAAATAATGGCTAGATCTATTAGTGATGTCCTGGATCTGGAAGCACTTTAGCATTCCGAAGTTCTTTATCTATATGTTCATTTTAACATGTGAAAAGTCAAGGAGAAAAAATGGTAACCTTATCCATTTTGCAATAGCCAAATCTTGGTTCCTTCATAACAGGATTAACCCACATCCATCTATTGTATTCCCATAAAATTCCTAATGACTTCCTCACTACAAACTAATTTTCCAACCTCAATCCAAATATAGTCATCAGTTGTATTAGCATTTGAGGTTTGAAACAAAAAGAATCATTTTTCTTCTCTCAATGTTTCTTCCCTGCAATATATGTTAGCTGCCACTAGGTGGTAGTAGGGGACAAGGGCAGGGATCTGAGCCCTAAAAATGTGGGGGACTGAGAGACATCCACAGAGGGGCTGCTTAAGTCTCTGGGCATGAATAAGAGATCCCATTCTGCAATATCTTGGCTTTTACAACAACTGCAGTTATGTGGAGTTAAACAGTGAAAACATAAAGAAATAGGTAAAAATTAATAGAAAACAAAACCACACAGACAATCAAGTTTTCTCACTAAATCAGCTATTTCAAAGACTCCATTCATTATGAGGCCAGTTGGCCTTTTATAAGGTTAAGATCCTCTACCAGAAACACTGGCAAGACCCTTATAGTTCTAGATGTTTCTGAGCTGAGTCAGTTGACTTCCAGGAATTCCCACAACCCACTGGATATGCCAATTAACAATCACTGTTTAAATGACATCTACTTTAAATATGTGTATTTTTGATTTTTTTTTTTTTCTATATAAGCAGTCCCTTAGCTCCTACTTTTCTCTGGCTTTCACTTTTCAATATAGAATGAAAAATTTTAAGAATTTAAAATGATGGTAACTAAACAAGAAAAATAATTTCATGTATGTTTTATATGTAGGTATATTTTTACCTTTTAGGAGCCTGGGGGAAGAGTGTGATGATGGAGACCTCCTGAGCGGAGATGGCTGCTCTAGGACATGTGAACTAGAGGAAGGCTTCAAATGCATCGGTGAGTTCCAGAGTTCTTGCCTATGATTGTGTCTTACTTTTGGCAGTACCTCAGTGTATTATACTTGTGAGCTCTTAATATCTTGTAAAAACTTGCTTGGTGATACCAATAACAATAAAATTTGATGTGCTTATAGTGTCCCAGGCACTAAATGTTTCACAGATATTATCTCATTTAATCCTTGCAGTAGTCATGAGGAAACTAAACTGAGGGTAAGAGCTTAAATGACTTGCTTTTGCTTATATAGTTAGAAATAGTAAAGTCAGGATTTGCATTAAGAAAGTATGGCTCTAAATCTACATGTTAAACCATTAAGTTAACAGTGCTTCCTAGGTTAATGTGACCAGGAATTTCTCTTGTGTCCTCATGTATAACACTGAAATGTCAGATAAGTAGCATAAGCTGAAGAGAGTGCAAGTCTCTGAGAGACATGTTTAATACATGTAGATAAAATTATGAAGCATAAGAAAGGATTATAACATTTTTTAATCTTCAAGAATCACTGGTAATAAACTGTAACTTTGACCCTGGAATCTAATATGACTTTGACTCTAGACCAGTGGTTCTCAACTTTCCTATGCTGTGACCCTTTGATATAGATGATGTCATCATTCCAGGTACTTGTATGTGGGTGTATTTGCATGTGGGCAGACCCACCTGGAGATAGATAGAGAAGAAGTGTCTCGGTTCCTAAGATCTAAGACCATCAGAAATATGTGTTTTCCAACCCCCAAAGGGATCATGACTCACAGGTTGAGAACTACTGCTCTAGACCCTTGCTATTTAGTTAGGGAGGCAGTCTACAATACTTTTCCCAAATATGTTAAAAATTATCATCAGCAGGTTTCTTAGATGGAGACTATTTTCCATTTCCATCTGCATATATTGCAGTGATTTTGTGAAGCATAACCACACATCAACATTATTTGTAAATAGCATTACATTTAAAAATATTTTAACATCTCTTGGCTCAGCACCCATAGCATAGTGGTTATAACACCAGCCACATTCACTGAGGCTGGTGGGTTCAAGGCCAGCCCTGGCCAGCTAAACAACAATGACAACTGCAACAAGAAAATAGCCTGGCATTGTGGTGAGTGCCTGTGGTCCCAGCTACTTGGGAGGCTGAGGCAAGAGAATTGCATAAGCCCAAGAGTTTGAGGTTGCTGTGAGCTGTGACACCATAGCACTCTACCAAGGGCAACATAGTCTTAGAAAAAAATTAACATCTCTAAGTCTTAAGATAATGTAGGATGTGATTATAATTGCATAGAACATACAAATGCCCCTGCCATCTAGAGCCAGAGCTAAATCATAGAATCTTAGTGGTCATCCATCCATTCATCCATCCATTTAACAAATTTCTATTATGTACAATAGGCATATATTCAATGCCTATTGTACACCACAAGTCTAAGAAACCCTGATCTCTTAATGAGTACAAGTCTAGCAGTGACTGAGAGTCTAGCTTCACTCTCTTACAGAACTCCCTTCTGCCAAATGCTGAGATATGGGCCTCTAGCTTCTGCTTACATAATTCTAGCAGTGAACCATCCTGTTTAAAAATAGCCTGATCTGTTATAAAATTCTCCTTTATTCTTATTTGTAAACTGAGCTGCAGAATATTTTAGTGATGTCTCCAAAGGCATACAGTAAGGCCTGGCATTGCCAGCCCTGGAACTCAGCTTTCCTCATGCTTAATCAAGTGCATTTTCTTTGCTGGGAAACTACAGAGAAAATATTTTTTTTCTTGCTTTATTTGACTGCTGTTCAGGTATTTGAAATGCCTCCCCATTATTCCTCTTTCCAGGCAAAATATCCCCTCATGTGATTAGGTTTCCAGACCCTTTCCTATTACCCTAAACTGGCATTCTTTGTGTGGTCAATGCCCAGAAAATAATCCAATACTCCAGTTGTGGTCGGTATGTGTAGAATGCCCTGAACCAATTACCTCCCACTTTTGTACATGAGTATTTGTTAATGCCACCTCGATTTGCATCATTCCTTTTTGGTATATAGTGGTCTCATATTGAATATGAATTTATAGTCTCCAAACACTGCTTTCTCCAGTACAGCTAAAGTCTCTTTTGACTTAAAAGCAAATCTTATTTGGTCCTCTCACAACTGATCCTGTGAAATTCAGCCCATATTTCCTTAGTCTTTAACTCCAGTGAGACTACATCTAAATTAGTTTAACTGTATTTAAATACTACATTTAAGATTAAATTATTTACAGGGTAAAATCAACATGATATATCCCATCATTAGATATCTTTATTGATGAGTTATAAGTTCATCATATGCTAAGCACATAGTTTTCTTCCATTATTTCTTAAAAGATTAGGTTCAAAGGAACCTGTTGTGATGTGGGAGGGAGGCACACCAGGCAGGCTGAGAATTCCCCAAACAGGGTTTTCCCAACTGCCAGGGGTCTGGGAGCAGAGAGAGGAATGACATAAAAAATTCAAAATCAGAATTTTAATCTGCTGCGGCCCGGAGAGATGAACACCATATCAGCCTGTAGTGAGACAGACAGGTGCTACCTTGACCTGAAATCTCAGAGGCTTTTATTAGGATTTTGGAGCTTGTATGTACAGAATGAAGAAGTAAAGAGTTAATAGTCTCATTATTCAATCATGTGGGTGGTCTTTTGATTATGAAAAAGATCATCAAGGTGAATGACAATAAGGCATCAAATCATAGAACAGTTCTTAAGGACAGAACTAAATAGGTAACAAACAAAGTTGCCTTAGGAGAGGATAGAGGAACAGTTATGGTTACAGCCTTTGGGCTAGATTGTCTCAGTTCAAGGGTAATTTTTAATTGTCTTCTAACTCTACTGATATTCTGTCTCCTATAAACTCCTGATTTCCACCTAGATAATCCCAAACCAGTTTTCTGTCTAGTCCACTGAACATTCTGAACCTTTTGTCACCATAGGCATGTTGAATAGTAGGGGGCTGAGGCCTGGGGCTGTTCCCGTGCAAGTCCTCTGGAATGTCAGCCTGCATTATATTACTAACCATCAGAACCTTTGTACAAATGTATCTTTAAAGTAGTCTGGTTTGTAGTCTTCAGACAGGTTTGAAAACAAAAATCATGGGCAAAAAGTTTATGTCCCTGCTGAAAAAATAGAGAGAGACAAGAAGAAGAGAGAGCAGACCCTGGATTATAAATAGAAAAACAGAACAAAATGAGAAAACAAATTCTATCTATCTATCTATCTAGAGATAAAGAGAGAGAGGACTCATCATGGAAAGTTATTCCCAAATGAACATATACTAGCTCTGGCATATGCACCATAGGTTTGATAGAAGACAGCATCTATAAGCCCATGTAGTTTAGAATCAAGTCCTATAAGCAGTGACTTATTTCTGGGAAGTGGAAATGAAAATATCACAAAGGCTCTTAGACTTGAGGAAATTATTAGGAAAAGTAGATAATAACTGTATGTTGATGGGTAGCTAACAAAGTACAGGAACAGCACTATGGTATTACTATGAAAAATTAAAAATAAAAAGAGTAGTATAGTAACAGTAAATTTTATAATGAAGTTATTGAATGGGTACCTAGGCATTAATTTATTTTGAATCTTGATCTTGTTTTCATGCATTCGTATTTTAAGTAGAAATAGGAAATTAGAATTGTGCTGTTAATAGTAATTGTTCCATGTATTGGTAGAAAATTCAATAGAACTTACTAAAAGTCTTTGTTAACTTCTGAGTTTTCTACAGATGAAGTAAGCAGATCTACATATCTATAAAAAGTCAGTACTATTTACTTGTTAGGAGTTATCCTTTGAGCAAGGGCAGAACTTGTCTAGTGAATAGAAGCTTGCTTTATAACCCCAACAGTTTTTCTCATATATTAATTTCTCACTTGTTTGCTTTTGAAGACAACTCCTCTGTCTCAGGTTGAGGCAATGTGGAGTGTCAGAGAGTTCATTGAAACTGTGTTCAGTATGCCTGGCACAAATCCAAGCTCTATTGCTTACCAGTTAAGAACCCTTTGGGAAGTTACTTCAACTCACTGAGCCCCAGGTCTCCAATTTATAAAACAAACCAAATATACACCTCTCATGGTTTTCCTGACACTAAATGAAATAATATATATGTAACCCTTTAAAGCCAGAAACCGTATTATCCAGTTTCAGAGCAATTACACAGCTGAAGAAACACAATTCAGTAGCAAAGTGTGACAGAAACCAAACTCCTTACATATTAGAATATTTCAAAAACTATGTAGTTTTTGTGAGCCTTTGAGAAGGAATCCAGTTTTGTAGACTGTGGCCTTTATTTACACTCTCAAAGGCTACCTGGATCTGTGGGCCACCCAGGCTTACTCCTCTTATGAAGACAAGGAGAACTAATGTACCATGCCATTTCTTTAAATTCTTTTTTTCTTCTTTTACCTACCTCTTGTGTGACTATGCCAGGGCTGACTCCAAGTTTTGTATAATACCTTGAAATTTTTGACTTAGTAAACATAAATTACAGCTTCCCATAAGTATCTCACTCTCTCAACTAGTATTTAAAATTTCTTACTACACTTAGCCTACAGCTACCTTTTAATTCCCTATTCATTCTCCCCAGTCCTCAGCCTTTCCATACCTTTAGAAGGATTCTAACTCTCTCCTAATGCAAAAAGAATTCATCTTCTTTAGGCAAGTATGTGTATATATGTATATACAAATATGTGTTTGGGTTGGCACTAGATTGGCTGGTAATTACAGGCTTCTCTTTAGTAAGCTAGAGAAGAAATACTGTGGCCAATCCCATGTTAGTTTTTTTCCATGACACATATGAAAACAAATAGTCTTTCAGTGTCACACATTGCTTTTTTGCCAGGGGAGCCAAGCCTTTGCTACATGTATGAGGGAGATGGGATATGTGAACCTTTTGAGAAGGAATCCAGCTTCGTGGACTGTGGCCTTTACACTCCCAAAGGCTACCTGGATCTGTGGGCCACCCAAGCTTACTCCTCTCATGAAGACAAGGAGAAGTGTCCCGTTTCCTTGGTAACAGGAGAACCTCATTCCAGGGTAAGTGAAGCCAGATGAATAGAGTTGAGGCTGAGCAAAATTGTAACATGACTCCCCAGGTGCTGAATAGGAACTCACACTTTGCTCCAGACTTTGACTTCACAGTTTGCCCTTACTGATCTCAGAACAAGATAGTAAAATAAAAGATTTCCAGATTAGCAATAAAATAAACCCCACCTCCTTACTCACCCCTCTTATCTTTACTAGTTTTCATCTAAGAAGGTGTGACTATGCCAGGGCTGACTCCAAGGTTTGTATAATATTTTGAAATTTTTGACTTAGTATAAACATAAATTATATCGGGCTTTGTGTTTGGGATAATTTAATTTAATCAGTTAATTTATTGACTTTAGAAATAGGATCTTGCTTTGAATGAAGTGCCATCATCACAGCTCACTGTAGCCTTGAATTCCTGGGCTCGAGGTGATCCCCCTGCCTCAGCCTCCTGAGTAGCTGAGACTACTCACAGGTGTGTGCCATCATGCTTGGCTATTTTTGTTTAATTCTTATTTGTAAAAATGGATGTCTTACTATGTTGCCCAGGTTGGTCTTGAATGCCTAACCTGAAGTGATACTCTCACTTTGGTCTCCCAAAGTGAGAATATCAGATGCAAGTCACTGAACCTGGGCCATAATTGTAAAGGAAGAAAAAGAAGTAGCAAGAAGTCAGAAGGCCCAGGTGACACTTGGATCTGCCAGTATTGCTGTTATTTTCATATGTGTTAGACAAGCCACTTAACTTCTCTGGACCCCTATTTTTCTCATATATAAAATGGCTATAGTAATACCATATGCGTTTAACTCAAAGGTTTATTACTAGGATAAAATGAGATTTAAAAGATGAATTAAAGAACAAAGTAAAAATTGATTTAAATTTTTTTTTTTTGGCAGTTTTTGGCCAGGGCCAGGTTTGAACCTGCCACCTTTGGTATATGGGGCCAGTGCCCGACTCCTTTGAGCCACAAGTGCTACCCAGATTTAAATAATTTTTATTACAAAAGAAATTCAAGAGTTAGTATTAGAAGAAAATTATTAGTGTTAGAATTTTCACCTGAATATATCTAACCAGATAGATTCTCTGAGGCAGCGGTTCTCAACTTGTGGGTCGCAACCCCTTTGTAACAATGAAAATACATCCTGCATATCAGATATTTATATTACAATTCATAACAGTAGCAAAATTACAGTTATGAAGTAGCAATGAAAATAAGTTCATGGTTGGAGGTCACCACAACATGAGGAACTGTATTAAAAGGTCACAGCATTAGAATGCATTAGGAAGGTTGAGAACCACTGCTCTGAGGGCCCTAAGACACTATTACTGATGACATCTATAAATTATAGTTGAATGTAAAAAAGAAGATTAAGGGCTCTTCACTCTTAGTACCCTTCCAGATGCTTCCATTGCCAAATAAATGCTTTCATTCATTATAATAATAGGCAATACCATCATCCTTTTACAGAAGGGTAGCTTTCTAGGCTTAGGCCAGAATGACATAATAGGATTTTAGGCTTGAGGAGGTAAATCTGAGGAGACTCAGGAACTGACCCACAGGGGCTCTAGTTTAAGAATCTCATCAAGGACTCTGATGTCTTCTGGAAGCCAGTTCTTCCATCGTGGCTTCCAGGCTTCTTCCTCCTGTTCATAACATGGCTGCTGCGGCCTAGGCATGAAGTCAGCATTTTGAGAAGGAAGAAGTGGGCATGCAAAGGGAAATAGGTGCCTGCGGCCAGCTGGGTCTTTTATTTGGGAAAATGGAAGCTTTCCTGGAAGTTCAACACTATAGACTTCTACCCATAACTTATTGATCAGATCCAGGACACTTCATCATCCTTAGTTGTAAAGAACTCTGAACTGGTGAGCATTTAAAACTGGATACACTATTACCTGGACACACTGGAGTTTGTTAGTAAGAAAGCAAGGGGCAGGAAGCACATACGGTTAGGCATCCAGGCATCTCTGCAATCTCAGCCTCATTCGGACATCTTTCTCCATAGAGTTCTGGTACCCAATGACAGGAATCCAGGAAAGTTGGGAGGTTCTGAGTTAGTGACAGCTCTCTGAAGGGGCTTTGAGTCTCACCTGTCTGTCTTCCTACGTGAAGTGGGAGAAGTTTCCTGGAGTGTTACTTCTCTGGCTCCTTAGCACAGCTGAATGCTCTGTGGTTACCTGAATCAGCAGTTCACCACTGGGACCAGGCAGTGCTGCCTCCTCACAGCCTTCTGCAGCTGATCCATGGAGTGGTCATCTGAAATGTGCTAGGGCTGTTCTTTATGCAAGACCCCTGGGCCAACAATAAGTTGAGAGTTGTTGTATGTATTTTTCTATTCTGGAAAATTATGTCTTGATGTTAACAGAGAGTATTGAGAAATTTTACATTGAGAAAAGTTCTATGCCAATAGGCACTCAGAAAGAGAAAAATAATTTTGAGCTGGAGAGTTTCATCGTCTCTACTTATCTCTCCTAATTTATACTTACACTTTTTGGTTGAAATTGCATTTCAGGTTTGCACACCTTACCATCCAGATTTACCCAAGCACCATCCCTTTACTGGCTGGTTTCCCTGTGTTACCAGAAGAAACAGAACTCAGGATGAAGAGAGTGAGCATCCAGAAGGTAGCCTGGAGAAAGAAGATGAGGTTTGGCTGAAAGTAAGTGGTGCCCCACATGATTTTTGTGAAGGCTGTAGATGGGGGAGGGCTGTGCACATGTGTGCATGTGTTATATGTAAAATGATGCAGTTGGATGACTTGTCAGGAAATCTTATTTTGTTATCTCAATGTTTTTATATTTGAATTTATTTACAATCTCTTTGAATTTTGGACTTCTTTCTTCTATGAGTAATCAGTTTGCTGAAGTGTAACGTACATACGCAAAATGCAAAAATCAGAAATACACACAGGTCAATGTATTTTGGAAAGGGAACAACCTTTCTAACTTTCACACAGATCAAGAAATAGGGCAGTAAGACCACCCCCAAAGGCTTTCTCAGGCCCCTTCTCAGTGATTGTAGCACTGAGGTATCTACTGTTTTTACTATCAGAGATTAGTTTACATGAAAACTTTATATGATAAACTTTATAGTATGTACTCTTTGTGATGGATTCCTTCTTAGTCAACATTACACTTGTGGAATCCATTCATGCCTCTTACTAGTAGTGTTTATTTTCATTGCAATGTAGGATTCCAATGTGTGAATACATCACAATACATTTAATCATTCTAATGTTGATAAATATTGGGGCTATTTGGGTTTTTCTCTATTATACAATTAAAAATCATTCTGCTATAAGCGTTTCCATACATTTCTTCTGATGACCTATACATGTATGAAAAGATAGGTATATTTGGAGTTGCTAAATCAGTGTTTTTCAACCTTTTTATCTCATGGCACACTTGGACCTATAGTTAAACTTCCATAGGACACTTAAATTATGTTGATCAAAGACAAAAATAGTGAAAAGAAAAATATACTTACTGTGCTTTGAACTTCTTTTGAAAATAACTTAATGATCTTTAAAATTTTTTGTGGTATACCTAAGATCCTCTCACAGCACACATGCTGTGGCACACTGGTTGAAAATCATTGTGCTGGGTCATAGTAAGTGGGCTGGCTTTAGTAGATAATTTCAAACACTTTCCATAGTGGTTGTACTAATTTATACTCCCTCCAGAGGTTTATGAGTGTTTCAGTTTCACATTTTCATCAACACTTCGTATTTTAATTCTTTATTTTAACGTTTTGTTGAATATGTAAAGCTAAACCTTTGTGATTTCAATTTATGTTTGCAAGATGACCAATGAAATAGGGAGACATATATATATACCTCAAACATCTGAATATATATATATATATATTTTTTTTTTTTTTGAAGGGCATATTCAAGTCTCTCAGTTTTCCTTTGGGTTGTCTGTTATTTTTGCCTTAATTTTTATGATTTCTTTGTAATTTTCTGATTATAATTGTTCAATTATATGCTCTTTAAAATCTTTCATAATTATGCCTAAATTTTCTTGCTCTCAATGAAGTCTTTAAATGAACTGAACTTCTAAATTTTACTGATGTCCAATTTTTTTTTTTTCTGATGTCCAATTTATCCTTCTTTTCCATTATGGTTAGTCCTTTTTGTATGCTTTAATAAAAAAATTTTTTGCCTACAACAAAGATGTGCTTTCTTATATTTTTCTTCTAGAAATGTTATTGATTCACTTTTTAAAATTTATATCTAGAATCTATCTGAAATTTTTGTGCATTATGTGAGGTAGGGACCAAGATATTTTCCCCTATGGATATTCAATAAATGTAGAATCACCCTTACTGTAACTAAAAGGTTTTTAGTCTAATGTGTTGTATAGTGTGTCATCTTTTTAGTATGTCACCTGATAGTTTATTGACTCTAAATTTTAGTCTATTAGTTTGTATATGTTTGCCCCTACACAGTAGATCTTAGGTATTGTCCATTTGAAATGAGTCTTAAAATCTAATATTGTTAAGTCTTACATCTTTATTTTCTTCCAAGTTGTATAACTATTCTCAGTGTTTTGAATTTCATATAAATTCTGGAATCAGTTTATCAGTTCTTACATTTAAAAATAAACTTATGCAATGATGACTGAGATTTTATCAAATCTATGAGGTGATTTAAGGGAAAATTTTCTCTTTGAAATACTGAGTCTTCTAATATTTATCTTCAGTTATTTGAGGAATTCACTTCTTTAATTTCTTTTATTCTTTAATTTCTTTCTTCATAGTTTCTGAGAGACTGGAGTTGAATTCTATCAAATGCTTTTTCTGCATCTATTGAGATGATATTATTTTCCCCTTTGTTCTATTAATATTTTGACTTACACTGATGATTTTTTAAATATTCAATAAATGACATATCTGAGGAAAAAACAAAGGATATGCTATCATTTAAAAATAGTTTTGAATTCTATTTGAGAATTTTTGATGGTTTTTCATTTATATTCATGTTCTTTGGAATATTTTGTGTAAGGTTGGTGTTAATTTGTGGCTTCCTTTTTGTTGTTTTTGTTGTTGCTCAGCCTTGTTAGTTGTTTAACATTTTTATTACCCTTTTACTAATCTTTTTTAAAAAACAACAAAGGATATTTTTGCTCTTATTTTTCATTATTTCTTACTTCTTACATTTGCATTTATCTTGCACTTCTTTTTCCAGCAATGAGGGGTGATAATTTACTGGTTTTTAGTTTACATCTTATTTCTTTCATCATTCATTTCAAAACTGTTTCCTAATTTTCATTTGATTTCTTTTTTTACCCCAAAGTTATTTGTAAGTGTGGTCCTTGACTTGAAAACATTTGTGGATTTTTGGTTACATTATTATTTTTTAACTTATAGCTTGATTCTTCTGTGGTCTGAAGTATATTCTACATTGCAGTTTTTTGAAATTTGCTGAACCTTGATTTATGGATCAGCATGTGGTCAATACTGGTAAATATTACCTATACTTTGAAAAGAATATACAGTCTGCAATTGTTGAATACAAAATTCTATATAATTAAGATAAGTTGAGTTTATCCATCGTATTTGGAAATGTACATATATATTTTTCCCAATGTTTTGTGTACTGTTTTCATTAGTTACTGAAAGATATGTGTTAAAATATTTTACCACAATCTTGAATTTGTCTGTTTTTCCTTTAGTTTTGTCATTTTTGATTTATACATTTTGAGACTATGTTATTAAACATGCAGGCAATTCTCACTTTGCGTGTAGTGTAGTGTAGGATTACAAAATGACTGTGAAGGCTGAAACTATGCAAAGCAAACTTAATAATCAATGGCAAAAATTACAGTTGTTTCATGACCACTAAAAGTTGTTTGTTGCAACATTAACTGCCCTCTATTTTTAATTATACACATGTAATTATACACAGGGAAATGAAAAAATAGTAAAACAAGTGTTTATTCACTACAATCTGAAACATTAGAAACATGGAGAATTACAGCATTGAAGTTCATGTAAAACAAAAAGTCACACATTACCAAGAGTATTTAAAACATTGCTTGCCAATTCCTTGTCATAAGACTTGTAAAGGAACCAGCTCCTCTATGCATTAGTAAATTGTCACATTCCTTGCAAAGTTTGAGTCAGCTTCTAATATATAATTTTTTACATGTTCAATGTTATGAAATATTTCTAAGAGTTCCTTTAAAATGAACTTTTTCTTGATATCCCTTCCTCTGGGACGTCTTCATCTTTTCTGTCACAATTACTTTCCTTATTTACATTGACAATTTCCCCTTCACTATGTTTCTGTAGTGCATATCTGGAGTCTTTTGAAACATTCCCAGAATTGGGTATTTCTTCTGCAACTCCATTTATCTTTGGTTCAAATTTCACTTCCCCACATTATCATTTTCCATTTATTTTGCTGCCTCATCATCCTTGTTGGTCAATTTTCTCTTCTGATTTATTTTATAAAATGTCATGTGAGACAAAAAATAAAAATTTTATCATATAAATTTTAGTCTCTCTGTGACCTAAATAACAGATACCCAGTGACCACTCAGTGACAGAATGTGAACAAAGTGATATGATTGTTTACCAATCAGGATTCACATTTGTTATTTACATGATAATGTTTGGATTAAAGAGCTAGCAATTAAAAATTTGACTTCATGTGGTTATAATTAATGTGCTAACTGAAATTTGAATGATATTATGGGGATTGCTTTCAGTTAAACAAATTGTTATAATTGATACTTACGCATATGAGAACTGTGAAAACTGAAAATTGTCAGTATATAGTAGGATTTTCATATATTCCGGTGAACTATCTGTTTTTAAACTAAGAAATTCTTTCTTTTAATTCTAGGAATATTTCTTGCTTTACTGTAAATGTTGTCTGGTATTAATATAGCTAACCCTATACCTAGCTTTTTGTTTATGTTTATGTGCTGTGTCTTCATTCACTCAATTACTTTTAACTTTTTATGTAATTATGTTTAATTATTTAGTGTGCAATCAACATATTATTTTATATGTACATATGCAATCTCAAATTCTTTGTTTTCTAATTAGAGTATTTAATTCAATTACATTTAATATAATTTGTGATGTTTAGTTTTAAACTTACCAACTTATAATTTGTTATTTATTTGTTCCGTATGTTCTTTGTTTTTCTGTTCCTTGCCCTGTTTTAGATTAAATAAGTAGTTTTACTATTTGATTTCTCATTCTGTTAGCTTATTAGTGTATTAGTTAGAGTTCTTCAGAGGCACAGAACCAATAGTATATATATTGTATTTGTTAGGGGAATTGCCTCACACAATTGTGGAGGCTGAAAAGTCCCATGATAGGCTGTCCTCAAGCTAAAGATCATGGGATGTTAGTAACATAGCTTAGTCCAAGTCTAGAAGCTTCAGAACAAAGGAAGCTAATGGTATAATTCTTAGCCTGAGGCTAAAGGCCTGAGAACCCCCAAGAGGCTGCTGGTACAAGTCAGGGAATCTAAGTCCTAATGAACCTGGAGTTCTGACGTCCAAGGGCAGGAGAATAAGGGTGCCCTACTCCAGAAGACAGAGAGCGAATTCTCTCCTTCTATCTATTTGTCCCATTGGAACCCCCAGCTAATTGGTTGCTGCCCACCCATGTTGAGATCAGATCTTCCTTACTCTATTCACC